CACACACACACCTTCCGTGTATCTTCTCGGCTTTCCAAGCTATCCTGAGCTGACCTGATTAAGCAGTGTGTGCTAGTTCATTAACAGCGGCGACCAGCCAGGGGTTCAAAGCACACCCGATATCGGCCGCTGATGTCCCAAGCACAGCCTGAAGAAACCAGCCCAGGGTGGGGGGCAAAGCCGGGGGGGAGGATTGAGAACCCGCTGGGATACAAGGAGGGCAGGTGCTTTGAGCAGGGGCCCAGCACCCCAGGAAGACAGAGCAGGCGAGGGCAGATTTCCTCTGAAAACCTGGCTCCAGATCCCAGGGAAGGGCGGAACCAAAGCACACCTCTCTGTATGGAATCACTGCCCTAGTTGGGCACCCAGAGGAAATTTGGCTTATTGAAGATGTGGCAAGAAGAATTTCGAGGAAGTTCAGTATCCTGCTAGAAGGGAGGCAGTTCCTGAGCTACCGAGGGCCCTGCTGGAAAGTGGTTTGGACACTCTGTCTGGAGAGGAAAGGGGAAGCTTGCACGGTGATAAAAATCGTGGGGGTTTTTTCCCCCTGTGTTGGGCACGCTGTACCCACAAGCATGGTTCTTGTTTTCCATGTTTCTTTAGGAAAAACAAGAGTTTGTCAACCAACCAACCAAAAGGGGAAAAAAATACCCCAACCTTGAGAGGGGGGTCAAAAGAGCTGGAGAGAAGAGGAGGAAGGCCCTCAGCGCAGACCTCACTCCTCAGGGCCCCTTAGTGGCAATGCAAGTGGACAGCTGTTGGCCGAGACCCATAGTGGCAGACAGACTCCAAGCAATAAACCCGTTTCGCTCACATTTCTGCGCCTCCCAACGCTCTGCAGCCACCCGCCCACCCCTGGCACAGTGTTTTCTGGAGACAGAAGTGCACCCACAGGAGCTGCTTCCTCAGTGGGGCCCGATATCTGCAGGCCGGGACAAGGCGCAGGACGACCTCTCCATGTCTTACACGGGCATGGGGGCTAGTGGTGGAACCACATTTCCCCCAACCCCAGACCATGGGGCTAATGGCAGGGAATCGGGGAGACTCCAGCAACCTCTCGAGGCTGTGGGGGCCCCACCCCCCCCAGAAGCGGGGCCGGGGCTGGCAGACATGGCTGCCTGTAGCCTTTGGCATACCCCCCTTCAGGCACAAAATTAGGGGCAGGCTGGTGACTTGCATGCCCCGCTCTCTGTGACGCAACGGCTTCCTGCTCCCTCAACCCAGCCATCATGCTGGGAGCCATGAAAACACCCACCTTTTGCCAGGAAGGGCCTGGTTCAAGGCCCCCCTCGCCAACCCCACTCTTCTCCCCAAGGCCCACTTTGGTTTCTCTCAACTCTGTTGATTTTCCAGACTGTAAACGGGCCATGTTGTTTATTCCAGACTCATGGATTTTAGGACACAGCCAAGGATACAAGGGATGGGCGGGCAGGAGAGACTGGCGCTCAGAGCAGTAAAACCCACGCCAAGGAAGCCCTTCAAAGCAACCACAGCGGCTTTAACGCTCACTTTCCCTGCGACGCCCCAGAACAAAAAGGGTTCTAGAGGGCGGCTGGAAGCCAACAGAAACGTTTGCTCCAGCAGCTTCCTTGGAACAGGACCTCCTCTGCGTACCGATGCACACAACTATCTGGAACTTGCTCCAGGGCCAAACTGCTCTTCAAACTCTGCAATGCTTGGCTGAGCGGGAAGGAGGGGAAATTGGGAACAGCAGACCCCAGGCTCTGAAGGACCAGGACGCTCCGTCCAAACCTTGGAAATCTGGCAGCCCCCAAGACGCCAGTGGGGCAGCGGTAGAGAAATGTGTTCTCGGTCCCCCCCCCCCAGCACTCAAGGTCTTTGGCCGCCCTGCTGTAAAAATATCTGGACCCCCCAGCTGCCGTGCCGACGAACAGGAGGAACTGGCTGTTTCGGTGTGTGCCGTCCCTGAAGCGCCTTCCGGAAGCCATCAGAGGAGGAGCTGATCCGGAGGCAGTTTTCATAACCTTGTGCAAGATAGGAATTATACAAAAGGCTCCGATTTGATTTCGTGTTCTTGGCCTACTTGGCTGAAGCCTGCAGGGGAAGACGCCGAGCTCCTGCTTGGAGCCTCCACGGAGCGCATTCAGGCGGCTGAAGCAAGGGAGGCAGGATGGGCCTGCCAATTTGTTGATCTTAGGGTTTTTTTTATTTTCGCAAGCTCACCCAGTTTGTTGACCCGGGAGCAGGGCCGTGACTTGCAACAGGCTGCTGCGTTTTCATGGGAGTGTTCCGGAGCATGGCTGCTAAAGGTGGTGCATCTTCAAGGGTGGGAAGGAGGCAGCCAGGAAAGGCACCCGGGGTGCCAAGAAGAGGCGGGGAGCCGAGGAAAGATCTGACGCACCCGGTTCTGTTGGCTAAAGTAAACACACACACCGGTTTCAAGCCAACGTGCCAAAGGGGTATCTCCCCAACCGTCCTCCACGCAGCACTGACGCTGCGCTCACGTGTTCGCTCCCCTCCGCCTTCACGAGGTCCAGCTTGCACTGCCGCCTGGGACCCCAGTGCGACTCCCTCGGGGACAGGCTCCCCTTGGGGACGGTGCTGGGAGCCAGGCTGGAAGGAAACCTATTCCCTGCCCTCCTGCGAGATTGGGGTCAGAGGGAAGAGCTTAGAGGCGCTCCAGGGAGGGAGTGTGAATCACAGCCAGGACGGGAGAACCTGGGCAAACCCAGGGCTTTCGCTTGACCAGAGGCCACCCGTGCGACTTCATACAGCAAAGCAGTGCCACCTGAGCCCAGCCCCACTTCAGGGGGTCAGGAAGGGCTACTGCAGACGCAGGCTGGAAGTCCCCCCTCAGCTTAAGGCTGCGACCTCCTCCTCTGCCCCTCACTTCTATTGCAGGGGTCTCCACCACTCCCATGTTGCTTGCACCGCATCGAGCCGGCATGGGCAGACCTTTCGTCGCCGAGGCCGTAAAACCCTTGCAAACGATGCCGCGGGTCTTGTGAACGAACGTCCAATTCCCCTGCCTTGGAGCAACTTTCTCCTTGCAGCTCCCTGAACCCGGGTTGAAACGTTCCCAAGACATCAAGCTGAGAAAAGGTCACTTAGCCTGACACAGGGTCCGGCGGGGCCTTAAGGACCTCTGATGCGGTCAAGGGTCCACCTTTGCAGAAAAGCCGTTGGGCAGGCTTCTTCCAGGTCCCTGGACCCAGGTGGGGTCTCCATCTTGCCTGGACGGGATCCGACTCCTCGCACTTCCATCCTCCTTGCAGCACAGACGCCAATTCTGACATTCACCGCGGTCTCCCGAAAAAGCAAGAGACTGAAGGAATCCCAGCAGACTTACTTAAAAGGTTTATTTAACTTTTTTTTTAAAATTTGAGGTAAAATATTTCATATCAACTTCCATAACAAAATACAGAGCTATCAGATACCCCTGGAAAAAATATGTATATTATACATATATTTCTATAACATTACATCATATATATAATATATATGCAAACTTTTTTTTTTTGAAGACTTTATAGAAAGTGGAACGTCTAAAGGCACTGCACAAAAGCATGAGGACTACTTACATTTTTTTTTTTTTTACACACAATTTTAATCCTGCTTTACATGGACAAATACCTGTTTAGTCCTTCAGTCAGGGCCATCTCATGAAAAATTGTTTACTTTTTTTTAAAAAAAGGAGTGATCAGTAAATACTTTGCCACTTTTAACACTCTAAAAGTTGAACTTTTTTTTCTAAAAGAAAAAAAGAACCTAAGGGGATGCCCCTCGAACCCAAGACCAAATCTCCCTTCTCAGGTCCACCCGCATTCCTAAGGCGCAAAAGAAAAGGAGACACAGCAAAGCAGGGATGGAATAAAAGGCCCCCCCCAGGTAAATTCTCCCATCTGAGGGGAACACGGCACAAGGATACATCTCCCCCCTCCTCGTGTTCCCAAACAGGGAGGTAAGGGGTCTGAAGCCGCTGCCCCCCAACTCAGTGGCTTCCCTGCTTTGAGACCCCCTCCCACGCTGAGAATATCTTTGCCAAGGCCATTTGGTCAGCCTTTAACAGCTAGAAGTGGCAGCAGCCCCTGTTCACCCAGCCCCCCACCACGAAATTTCCTGGGGAGGGGGATATGGCAAACTCAATCTTCTTTCTAAGATTCTCTATGGCTACAACACATCAAAATAGCTTCCCAAAGGTACGAATGCGTCCTCAATTCGCGGCAGGCGGGGTCCCAACCCTCCGCACCGGAGCGGCTTAATTATTTGGCACAAAGAGCTGTCTGGGGGGCCGGCCCAGGTGCTCCCCAATGCAGCTGGCCAGGAGAAGGGGCCACTCT